ACCTTTGAGATGCTACCTCTTCATTGTCACCTGCCGAGTCACTCTGGCTGCACTGCCACGTCCTGGTGGAATTGCTCAGCTGGCAGGTCCTCTCCCTGTTAGAGCATGTTCTGGAATTTTGTAGGTTCTCACTCTGTCTCCAAGTCCTACTACCTGATACCCTTTGATGTTTTGGTGATTCCAAGTTGTATGGGCACAATTCCTAGCACAGACCAAATGCTCAAAAAATGATGAACCAATGAAATAAACGGCTGTAAATAAGTATCTTCCTTGGCTTGCAAGTAGGTTGCTACCTTGATGCCAATTCTCTGCTGCCTCTTTCCTTAAAAGTATGTCTTATTCTGCTACTATATTAAAGGTAGTATAACATTAGAGGCAGAAAGGTTTGGTTTTGAATGCCAGGTCTGTCACTCCTAGCCATATAACCTTAAAACAGTATACTTTCCCAGACTTTGGTTTTCTCATTTGTGAGATGAAATGAACAATGGACCTCTGTTTTAAGGTGATTGTTAAAATTAGATGTTTGTAGCACACTTAGCACACTATGCCTGGTCCACAGTAAAGTGCTTAATAAATGGTAGTTACGATGCTGTTGGAGTCTGATGAGACAATTCTCTCAGTGAATTCTCTATTCTCTTGTTGGTGGATAATTTTGCCAATATGTAGTATTACACTGGTGCTGTTTGCCATTCAGCCCCAAGTGTCTTCAGCCCCTTGTGATCATTGCCCTTCCTCAGGTGCACATTCTTGCAGGGCAGTCATCAGCTATGTAACTGACTACTGCTCCTTCAAAGCTGTTTTCAGCCCACTGGAATGACAGGGAGCCAGGTCTCTTGACTCAGAGCTGGGCCACATAGAACAGATAGAGTTGAACACATTTCCACCTGATGAGCTCAATTGCTAGAGGTAACACTGGTGAAACTGAGGTCATAGGTTCAAGCCCCTTGTGAACTCACTGGTTTGCCCTCTGGCACGACTACACACTTCCTGAGCCTATACAAACATGTCATGAATGGCGTCCTGGATCACAGGAAGGACAGTGTGAGAGCATGCCCTTTCAAACATGGTTGCATAGTGCCTTCTGGTGAAGTGTGGGTATACAGTATGAGCATCACTGTCATCTTTACGCAGCAGTGGCTTACCACTTTGGCGAGTGGTATTGTGTGGGAAGCCATTCTCTAGAGAGGGTTGGGCATTCACCTGGAGTAAGCCCAAGTTGTGATCTTGGTTAGCCAGACGTTCTACTGATTTATTTACCATGTACAAGACCTTAGAATGATGTCACTTTTTCTTAAGGCACATATGCCACATAGAAATGGCCATTGTTATTGTATAGTCTGTGATTTGATTTATAGCAAGCATCTCAGTAACCTTTATTTCACCATTATACTCTTAAAAGCCACACCACAGTCTTGAAAGGGATGTGGCTGGCCACGTCATCTTATAGAGGATACAAATGTAGCCCTTTGCTATGTTGAAATGCAAAGAAATGCTAATTTAGTCACTATTACTCTCCAAATTATTTTTTTCTCTTAAATATTGTATGATATGTTAGTTTCCTATAGATGTAACAAATTGCCATAAACTTTGTGGCTTAACACAAATTTATTTTCTTACAACTTCAGGGGTCGGAAGTGTAAAGTGAGTTTCACTGGGTTAAAATCAAACTGTCAACAAGGCTGCATTTCTTCCAGTGTCTTTTCCAGGGGGAGAATCCATTTCTCTACCTTTTTCATCTTCCAGAGGCCACCTGCATTCCTTGGTTCATGGCCCCTTCCTCTATCTTCAAAGCTAGAAACATAGCTGCTTCTACTCTCTCTGACTCTGAACTGTGTCTGTCTTCCATCATTTTTTTTTTTTTCTCCTGAGGCAGGGTCTCGCTCTGTCACCCAGGTTAGAATGCAGTGGCATGATCACAGCTCACTATAGTCTTGAATCCCTGGACTCAAGCAATCCTCCCACCTCAGCCTTCCTAGTAGCTGGGACTATAAGCATGCACCACCATACCCTGCTAATTTATTTTTTGTAGATACAGGGTCTTGCCATGTTACCCAAGCTGGTCTTGAACTTCTGGCCTCAAGCCATTCTCCTGCCTTGGCCTTCCAAGGTGCTGGGATTGCAGGCCATGAGCCACCACGTCCAGTCTTTCTTTCATCTTTGACTGAAACTTGAATTACCTTGGGACCCCCCAGATAATCTAGGAACATTTCCCTAGCTCAAAATCCTTAACTTTGCTCATTTGCCAGGTACTGTAACATATTCACAGGTTCTGGGGACTAAAAAGTAGTCATCTTCGCGGAACCACTATTATGCCCCACAGATAGGAAGGTGCCAGCTTTGAAATCTCCATCCTTCAGAATGTTTAAAGTCTATTTAAATATCTAAGCAGAACTTATTTGGCCCACATTAAAGCAATTTGCTACTAGTTCCAGTAATTCATAGTGCAGTTATTCATAATATCATAATTCATGATGATGACTGTGGTGGTGATTTCTTCAGAAGTTGGAGACAAATCCACAGTGAGACATCTTAAAAGACTCGTGTTTTATCCACGGTAATGGGAGTCATTCATGAGATCTTTACTGAGTGCCTACCATGTGCCGACAATTATCCTGAGGACCTTGTGAAAATGTAGCTGCTGTGTGTGGAGTATTTCCTTTCCATTTTGCTGGTAGTAGAATCTCTTCACTCATGAGCAACAATGTCATCATGTAGTTAGAACTTCTTTGAAGCTGTATGGAAATCCTTAACTGGCAGACAGACTGAACACCGTTTCTGGGCTCCCAGCCTCCTTATTCCCATTACAGATGGGACACTTTCTAATGTGATCTGAATTTCACAGGCTTTTTAGAGAGACCTGAATCAATGGTTCAATTTAAAGTTATGCACAGGGAGCAGCCTGGAGCACCAGCCCAGCCACTTGTGCCCCAAAGTCAATGTATAGTTGCTTTTTGCTGCTCTGGTTTGGAGAATAAAGATTAAAAGCTGATGACCCCAGCTTCATCTTAAAGCACTTAATTCAGTGTTTTCCATATGCTGAACTGTGGTCTGTTTTCATCACCTAAGGAGCTTTTACAGACAACTCCTCTGTGAGAGGTTCTGAGTCAGTTGTTTTGCATGAGGCCTTGGATACTGGTATTTTCAAATGCTCCCCAGATTATTCTAATATGCAGTCAAGGTGGGAGTGTAAAAAACAAAAGTCCTGGTTCCCACTGCCAGGGATCCTTATTCAGTAAGTCCTACTGAATTGTGAACGTTCCTCTGGTGATTCTAGTGTGCAGCTATGTTTAGGGGTTACCATCCTAGCAACAATCTTTTGGCATTTTTAGCTATCAGGATTCTGTTTTCCTTGTTGCAAATGTAGATTCCTGAGGGCTGTCTCCATTCCAGGCTTTCTGACCCAGACTCTGGGGGCTGTGCCTAGAAAGCTGCAAGCTTAACACACATGCTTCAGGTAATTCTTATCAGGGAGTTGTAGGAAACAGTGTGTAGTGGAGCACTACAAAGAACTTAGAGCTGTGCCTTTACTTACTTAGAGCAAACCCTCATTCTCAGTTCCAGCATTTGGCTAATTTTCCCTTATGGCCAGTATTCCTGAGGCTGGGTTGGGAGTGTATGAAGGACAAGGTTATACACTGGTGGCATGGAATGTTTTGGTCCCTGAGTGATTCTCGTCAGGCTTTCTGTGTGTTGATGGCTGCCTGGAAAGCAGATGTTATATTAGACAACCTAACCCTGTTAGGTTGTCTGGTAAGTTATCAATAAAAAAAGATGAAGAAGTTCTCTAAAGCACTGTATATAAGAAAGAGTCAAATCAAATACAACTCAATCTGGATAAAAGTAAACTAGAAGAATGCACCCGTCAAATTTTCTCTGAAGAAGACAACTATTGGCACTGAAAGATTTAGTCTGTCCTGATTCAGCAAACCCACACCAAGTATAAATTTTTCAAGTTTCTTTTACATAATCAAATTTGTAGCAATTCTAGTATAAGAAAACAGTTTATTCTTGTTTCAGTGTTGCCTTTTTAATTTAAAAAATATATATACTTTTAAACGTACAGAAAATAGGAAAAAATAGCACATTGAACACCCATACACACCAGTTAGATTCATTAACATTTTGCCGTATAGGCTTCACGCGCATTTTGCAAAACCATTTGAAAACATTTTAAGGGACACTATAACACCTCATTCCTAAATAAGTATGCAAATGAAGGCATTCTTTTATAAACTACAACATCCTTCTCACAGCTCATGAAATTAGCAATAATGGTCTAATATTCAAAATCTAGTCCATATTCAAATTTTCTCAGCCCCTTAGGTTTAATCAAAGATTCCACATTGCATTAGGTTATGATGTCTCTTAAGTAACTTTAGAAGAGTTACCCTTTCCACTTTTTTTTTTTTTTTTTTTTTTTTTTTTGCAACACTGATATTTTGACGCAATGAGACCAGTTATCTTCTACAACATTCTATATTCTGGATCTGTCTGATCATTTCTTTAGTGGTGTCATTTAACTTGTTGCTCTATCCCCAGCATTTCCTGCAAACAGGAAATTAGATCTAAAGGCTTGACTAAATTTCAGTTAAAGTTTTTTGCCAGAGCACTTCATAGGTCATAGAGTGTACAGTGCAATATGTATAGGTCATACTGCATCACAGATCAGAAAACATGTCTGTTTTCTTCTGACTACTAGTGATGTAAAATGTCATCAGAGCTTAAGGAACTCTTTATTGTAAAAGTATATTTTTTCCACACAACCAACCAGTAAGTTTTTGGTGAGGTGATACTTTGATACCATGAGAATTCTAGTAGGGATGTAGCTCAACCTTTTATCTAATAGCTTTAGTATCAAAATGTCTTTAATACTGTTTTACGTTAACCTTTCAACTTTTTAACATTTTAAATTTAAAAATATTCAAAAACATTTGTTTGCCACAAACCATAAAGTTTTACAAAAGTAAGATTCACTTTTATAATAATGGCATATTTACTCATTAATTGGAATGTGAGCACCCTCTCTCTTTTTAATTTTGCCTCAACCCTGTATAATAGCCAGTATGCTAGCCACTCATGGACCAAGAGATTAGCATACTTCCTAAAGCATTAATATCATAAAGAAAATCTAGACATGTGGGAGGTGGTGGGGGAAGTTTTGGTGGCCCAGAAGGAAATGGAGGCAGCAAGCATGATAGGAAGTGGGGTGGTGTGGGTGGTGGGCTATTGAATTTTAGACCTGACCTGGCTTTCCTGGTCCCAGAATTCCATGGAGTAGCACTGAATCTTGACTTTCATTTTCATTCTCTTGAGCATTCTGTCCTATATTATTAGCTACAGAGGTTGAATAAAGTAGATCAGACAGATTTGCTCCTATTTCCACATCCAGTGTAAACCACAACACAGCTTTCTCTCTTCATATCAATTGAAGCAATGGTAGCTGGGTAAATGCAGCTGTCTTCTGACCAAATGGCAGAACATTTGTCCCGAACTTTCTACTACTTCAAGAAAGTTGCAGTGTTCTTTTCTTGGCTTTTATTCTTCTTAGCAGGTTTTCTACTAGGCATGCTTTTTGGTTTATCTGAAATTTCGCAAATGTCATCATTCTTTAGAGCCTGTTTAAATGAAGCCACAGCTTTATTATCCACTTTTATCAGTGCTATAGCATCCCAAATGTCAGAATCGTCACTCTGGCCTGTGCTGCACTAGAACTGCACCAAATCTTCCTGCTCCAGGATGCCACAGCCACTGCTGGCACTGCCCATTGCCATCGTAAGCCTACTGCCAGTTTTACCTTTCAACGAATGCATTATTTCCTAAATACTAACTACAGTCAAAAATTGTTTCCCTGAGATGATATAGCCTTCTCCTTTGGTGGCATATATTAACTTTGTTAGTCTCAATATGACTCACAGTTTGGATTTTCAGGTTCAAGAATGTGCAGAGTCATCCAAGACCTCCCTACAGGTGATTTTTTTTCAGCACATTTTACTTAGTCAAATCATCAAACTATTGATCATGTCCCCACACCTAACCAATTTATAAAATTCAAAGCCATCTGCCCTGTAAGGATTCTCCATAGTCTTGATTGCAGAGTTGATTTATGACCTAAAGAAAGAGAGATTTTCGCTTAGCTTTTGGAAATATTCCCTTCTGTAGATCAAAGATGCTGGTGATTTTCAGTAAGTTGATTGAGCAGGAATAGAACTTTTTAAGTCATCCCAGTTTCATAGAATTCACGGCATTTCTTTTCCAAGGCTGATTATTAATTTTGCATTGAAATCCCTCACAACAATAAGCCTGTTGAATAGAAACAAACTTTTGATGAATCATCAAATCATCAAATATTTTCTCTTTCTTCAAAATGAAGGGCATCCATGCTAAGTTACTTCTGATTTAAAGGTGTTTTAAAAGGATCACCAAACGTCTCCACTTGATGTCTATACTTTGTAAGAAAGACATTTTCTCTGATAAGGTATAATTGCTGCCTTCTCTGAGCATTTCTTTATGTAAAATGTGATTGGTTTCACTCCTTGAGTGATCCCTAAGTTGATTTAACTCTGGATCAGTTTGTCAATTTTAGTTGGTAACAAATGGGGAGGGAGGCAGATTTCCTGAAGGGCATAAAAATAAGATTTTCATTTTAAAATCCCCTCCTCTTTCTCTTTGAACTGATTTAATACACCAGGAAGGTGAGGAGAACTGATATATAGGATGGAAACCTGAATAATTTTGACAAACCATGTGGAAGCCTTTCTTTTGTTTTAATGGAGGAATTTTGAGGATGAACCCAATTGGGAGGTGTAGGCAAATTCATAATTCCTTGGAATTTTCTTGCTTGTCTGATGGCAAAGTTAGGATGAAGTGTAATCCTCCATTGTGACAAATATGCCTGCTGCTTGGCAGATTTGCTTTTTCATCCTTCCATGTGGCTTTTAATTTTGTGTGCTTCCCGAATGTAGGTCCTTTTATTGTATACTACCTATTATTTCAATAGTGTGGTATAAATTACAGTTAGGCCAATAAATAATTGTTTCTCCTCCTGGCAGGTCCATCCCACAGTTATTCTTTCGTTAGTTGTTGACTGAAGTGATTTGCCAGACTGCGAACTAGCTCTGAGGATCCCAAGTTGAAGAAGAGGCTCAATCCAGAGCTTACAGCTAGAGAGGTATTAGACAAAGAAACCAAAGGTTATGAGACAGGTGGACATGTGGTATAAGACAGTTGGGAGGACAGTGTAAGGATTTGAATGGAGTTCTACAGAGCACCAAAGATGCTTGTAACCGAACCCGTACAGGAAGGCATTCTAGGCAGAGGGAACAGTATGGACAAAGGGAAAAGCATACAGCATTTGGGGCAACTACATGTAGTTTGGTATGACTTAAAGATGGAGTGCAAGTGGTAGGAAAGCAGGAGATAAAACTGAAGAAATAGGCAGAGGCCACATGATGCCAGACCTTGTTGCTAGGGTAAGGAACTTGTGCTTGATTTAGTGGATAAATGGGCAGCTATAGTGGGGGTGGAGGTTGGAATAGCATGAACAGCCTTGCATTGTGAAGTAGGATCCCATACTTCTCCTCCAGAGAGTATCTCCTGTAAGTATCCTATGATCCCAAGCTTTGGACACATTTAACACGAATCTTTGCATGTGTATCTCACTAAGTTTTCATTACATTTTTAATATATTGTGTTATCTTTTGTTGTGTAACAAATTGCCCTCAAAAGCTAGCAGCTTAAAACAATACATATTTATTATGTCACAGTTTCTGTGTAATCTAGATATGGCTTGGCTACATCTTGCAGCTCAGGACCTCTCCCATGGATGCAACCAAGATACTGGCCAGGTAATCTCAAAGTTTAACTAGGGCATGGTGTTTCCAAGTTCACTTAGTGATTGTTGGCAGGATTCAGTTTTTTTCATGGGCTGCTGGATTGAGGGCCCCAGTTCCTTGCTGGCAGTTGGCTGAAGGACACCCTCAGTTTCTTGCCACCTGGGCTTCCCAAACTGCCAGATTGCTTTATTAAAGCCAGTAAGAAAGAGAGTCTGCTGGCCAGGCGTGGTGGCTCACATCTGTAATCTCAGTACTTTGGGAGGCTGAGGCGGGCAGATAACAAGGTCAAGAGATGGAGACCATCCTAGCCAACATGGTGAAACCCCGTTTCTGCTAAAAATATAAAAATTGGGTGGGTGTGGTGGTACCCGCCTGTAGTCCCAGCTTCTTGGGAGGCTGAGGCAGGAGAATCACTTGAACCTGGGAGATAGAGGTTGCAGTGAGCCGAGATCATGCCACTGCATTCCAGCCTGGTGACAGAGCAAGACTCCATCTCAAAAAAAAAAAAAAGTCTGCTAGCAAGGTGGAAGTCATAGTCTTTTATAACCTAATCATGGAAATAACATCCCATCACGTTTGCCATATTATGTTCATCGGAAGCTAGTCACGATGTCCTGCACTCACTCAAGTAGAAGTTCCCTGTGTTGCCATGTCAGTAGGAGGAATCTAGAATGTCATCTGGATGGCTGCCCACTTTGAAGACTGACCTTCCTCCCATTAGGAGTTTGGTGGTTGGATAAGGAATTATATTGTTTCTTGAACCAAAAGTTTTTGGATACCTGAAGACACTTCCTGATATCTCAGACAGTTGGACAAACCCAAGGAAGCAGGGGCACTTGTGGAAATTTTGTTCCTCAGTGGGGCTTCATTTTCCCCGCTGAAGGGAAATACGGTAGAGCTCTGAGGCCTGCATGAGGCAAAAAGAAGAGATTATATAGAGAAAAAGTCTCAGCTGGAATTTTTTTAGACTGCCTGTTTATGGCTTCACCAATTCAAGTTTCTGGTTTGTAAATCATGGCCATTTGTCTTTCCCTTGGTGATGGTTTTGTTGTTGTTGTTTTGTTTTGTTTTTGTTTTTGTTTTTGAGACAGGGTCTCACACTTTTGCCCAGGCTGGAGTGCAATGGCATGATCTCAACTCATTACAACCTCCGCGTCCCTGGTTTAAGCAATTCTCCTGCCTCAGTCTCTTGAGTAGCTGAGACTATAGGCACCACCACACCTGGATAAGTTTTGTATTTTTAGTACAGATGGGGTTGTAGATACAGGGTTTCACCATGCTGGCCAGGCTTGGTCTCAAACTCCTGACCTCAAGTGACCTGCCCTCCTCAGCCTCCCAAAGTGTTAGGATTACAGGTGGGAGCCGCCGTGCCTGGCCTCTGGGATGTTTTTAATGGCTGGAGAGCAACCTACCTCCTTACTGGCTGTTTGGAGGACACACTCCAACAACACATATTCCCTCCCAGCACTAAGGTGGCAGATTCTGCTCTTATAACAGGATATTCCATGCAACTATATATTTCATTTGTAAAACTTTCCATTGGGATTATGACTTTCTTTCAGATGTAGCTGACCCTCCCCTGGCACTGTTTTCATACAACTGTGTGTCGTTGCCTGGCCCAGAAAAGATGCCACTATCCAAATCTGCTCTTACAGACTAAAATTTCGTTTCCAAAGATATTTATCAATTCAATAACATTTATCGAATTCCGACTATAGGTCATTTGTGGTGCTAATCAGGGAGAATATAGCACCGTATCTACCCTCTAGGAGTTTACAGACTAGTGTATTTGAGGTTGATTTGTGTCATTTTATATAATCTTTTCCCTTACACAAACATTTCATCTAGTAAATGGTTCCAAGATACTTACAAATATTAATAGCAGTGTCACATTGTTCCCCAAAATGTTGAAAAATTTGTGTGATCTTATCTGTCTTGCACTTTAATGCTATGGTATATATTTAATAAAGGATTGAATTTGGTCAATGTCAAGAGTGAGGTGAGGAGAACCTACATGAGTGAGTTTGGAGTGAGTTTGGAGGAGTGTGAGTGTGCATAGCAGACTCTAGACCCAGCTTATGGAGTCAGCTTCTGGTGATTTCTTGTTCATCTTGTTCCATCTCAGCTTCCCATTTTGGTCAAATCACCCCCAACTGAATGACCATGGCAAAAACATTTCCCAAAAAGGCATTTTGAACTTGGGAATAGCGGTTGGTGAGCCCATAGTACTATTTGCACTTACTGGCTCTAAGACCTTAGTTAACCTCCCTAAACCTGTTTCTCAACTGTAAAATGGAGATAAGAAGAATACTTTAATGCATTTATTTACTAAAAAATGTTTTATTGAAAACACCATTCTTGTAGGTCCTGGGGATTCAAAGTGAATAAAAGTCCTGTCCTTCTCCAGCTACTTTCTAGTTGGCAGAAACGGTAAACAAATATGTAGCAGGTTGACAGTAGGGGTGCAATGAAGAGAATGTGAGCAGCGAATGGGATGTAGGGTGGAGATGGGGTACAGTGTACATTGGGCAGCCATCTTCTGCCTGAGAAGATGACATTTGAGAGTAAAAAAGACAAGCATTAGGGGAGAGAGGGGAATTAGTTGACAAGTGAGAGGAACAGCAAGACAAGCTAGAGTGCAGAACTGAAAGGTGATTCTCTAGAAAATACAACTGGAAAGCTCACAGGGGCCTCATGACAGCCCGCAGTAGGGATTTTACTTTTCCTCCGAGTGAGACAGGCACTGGAGAGTTCTGTGCTGAGAAGCATCATCATCTGACTTCTGTTTTAAAGAACATTCTGGAGTTTGGGGGTGGATCAAATGAGATAATACCTGAAAATCAGCAAAATGCCTGGAACATGGTAAACTCACAATAAAGATTAGCTCCAGGGAAGAGGGGCCTACGATTACACAGCATCAAGCCTTTGGGAACATGTTTGCACATTTCTGTGTCCTTCAATCATATAGACTTGAATCCTAAGAAATGGAGTTTTTTTTTTAAAGGATGTTCACTCAAAACCAGCGGGGTTTACCCACTTTCAGGGATGGCAAGGGGCATAAATTTTAGAGAAGGATTAACTATTTAGAGTTTAGAGACTCAAAATGATAACATGTTTAAGGATACCTTTGGAACAGCTCAGAGCATACCCACTGAAGGCCAAGGGGCTGCCCTCTGTGCATTTTTGCTAACAGCTTTGCATAGACTGGGTTTATGAAGTGCCACCCCATCTGCTAAGCCC